TTGTGAAGTTGAGTGTGTTTAGATGTAGATGTGAATCTAATGGGATATTTGTTCACCCACATCCCACATCCTTTCAACATTAGAACACATATTCATGATGTTTTAGAACTTCATTCAACAGAGAATCACAATCTTTAATCATAAAAAACGAGAGCTCGCACTTCAATTGAGTTTCTAGTTGGTCCCTCCTTTGCACCTTCAGCATCATAGAATGCAGTGTGAGGTGTCAAACCGGCCACATCGGTCAATAACGTTTCGTCCACTTGAGCTGCGCTCTTTTTTACCGTTGAGAGAGCTCGACTAGCGCTATCATAGCATTTCAAGAACATCACCTCGTCCGGTGTCATCTTTGACCAATAACACCATCGATGTTGCGGATTGTGCATAACAGAATAGGTTTCTCCGTTAGGTATTGGAGGCGGATAGATAAGTGTTGTTGGAACAAGATCATTGAGCACATCGATACTACGAAAATCGGCCACGGCGAGTGGATAATCGTACACAGGGTTCTTCAATGGTCGCCAAACATTAATCAATTGAAAGCGTTTCCATGAAACGTTGGATGCGTGCCGTTTCACTCGCATATGAGCACTAATAGGCGTTTGATCAACGTGCACTTGTTGCACAGGCTGGCGCTTCGATGGAGAATCGTCTAACTGACCTGGCCTCATTTTGCGTACGGTATGATCGAAGAAAACAATGTGACTAGCGCCTGTGACACGTTTAAGCAATTGTTCGACCTCAGGATAATATGCTTCCTTTACTTGTTCTTCTGTTCCATTGAGAATGAGATCGGGATCAACTGTGCTTGGTGAATAAAGCGCTTGGAAGCCAGTGACATCGATGTGTGTGTCTGATTCATGGCCTCGTATGTCGTGTATGGTAGTCTCGACGGGTTCTACTTCAAAATTCTTGTCGCGTATTCCATTACTCGAAGCGTTGATGTTAATGAACCACTGTTCTGATTCACTGTTGGAAGGTAAGGCCTTATTGTAGATTAAGGTAGCATGAACATCACGGTTAGTGCTGGAGGCATCGTTGAATGTCATGTTTTTGGTTGTATGTAACTATTAGATATTCGCACTCTTTTATAAGATGTGTGAGAGAAGCAGGAGATAGCGATTTATATGCATGATAACGCGGACAAAGCTTTCTTCACTTCAGTCATTGATGTAATACACACTTTGATCATGCATCAACTACGTCGGTTGATATCAGAATAAGCCGTTAAAAATTACATTTTCCATTGTTTGAGTATATAAGAGTGATGCATAAGAAATCATATTCTATAGTATACGAACAATTCTATACACATGCAGTTTTTTCTCTTCAATGGCCTTTTTACCCTTTTATCTCCATCGCGTTATATATTTATCGCAAGGCTTGAAGAGAAAAGAATGAATGAAGGTGAAAGCTTGACTTATATGCTCTGTCATGGTTTTACTGCAATTCTACCCTTCAGTCATCGACATGTGTCGTCAGCAGACCTTTGACAAAAGTATATGTACTTGTACTTCCCATGTAAAAAAACTCAACAAAAAAAAAATCTGATTTTAACCCATTTTTAATTTTTTATCGTTTGTTTTATATGGATAAAGATGAAGAAAATAATTTTTAGTTTTCCATGTTCCGTTGTATAAAAGCTTTTCAACTAACGAAGAGACAGTATAGTCAAGAGAAGCCAAACCTACGGTTTTTACAGACAAAAACTCAAGTTTTTAAAATTTATTTACTTTAATTATCATTATTTTAGTTAATGAATGAATTGTATAGAATTCAAATGCGGCTAGAAACGATTAAGTCTCGCAGCTGAATAAAAAATGTAAAAATTAAGAAATTGACTTATCTTTGATTATGATTTTAAATTGCAAGTAACGATTTCGCTTTAATTTTAGAATGAAAACTAGAGTACTATGTGTGGTATCAAGTCATCACTGAATAATAAATTATTTAAATGAAATGATTCCTTTCATTTGATGTAACTTAGAGCTTAAAATATGCATTTAAAACAATTATAATACTCGAATATTGTTATGTCCTTGTTTTATATGTGACTAATAACTGAGAAAGAATAAATACTTTTTCAATTTCACATGACAATGAGAGAAAAGATTCAACGAATCTATGTAGCTTCGGTATTGAGTTCGCTGTTTTTTGCTCTATGGGAATTCTGATGGAATCTCATTTTATGCATGTTATTCGATGATTCAAAGTTGTGCTACATTGAAGTGAGTATGCCACATAATCACTAAAACCGGATCAATATCGCAACTGAGATGCAATTTTTTTGTTAATGAAAAAACTTGGAATACACACGTTTCTGCAGTAGAATGCATTTAAACACCTTGATATGTTGCCTTTCACACTTAGTCCAACGAATGACAAACAATAAACGCGTTTAGACATGTTTGGATAAAAGCCGCTTACACACGCGTTTCAAATTACTATTGTGTTTAGACACACGAAAACGTTGCATTGTTGACGATGAAAAACCTGCTTATTTTAAACTCATTTAAACGCATAGAAACTCATCACGATCCAAAAATGATTACATGGCCATTTCTCTACGCCTAATGACTTCAAATCTTATTGGTTCTTAATCCTTGCTGTAGTTAGTTATAATGATGGATAAACGAAAGTATTATTCTAATCATAGAATATTCAGTGATCAATTGAGCATGCCGCTTATATAAATGACTTGGTATAAAAGCTTTTGCTCTTCGCTCACAAAGGAGAAGGTTTGAAAAAACTTTTGAAATCTACAAATATGGTACCTCGTACATTCTACGAAATTGTGAAGGACTTCCTAAAATTACTAAAGAACCTTTTATCATATCATCCAAATACAGTAGGCTCTATAGAAAAAATACAAAAAACCTTTTTGTATCGGGTAGAAGTATTGAAGGTTCTCTATGAATTATACAGAGTCACTCAGTACCTACCAAACTACCCGAAGTTCTGTGACGAAAATAAGAAACGTTTTTGAAACCTTATGAAAGCACTCTAGACTCTTCGGAAACATCCGAAGTTCTATGCTATTTTTTTGAACCTAGAAATGGTTTAGTATGAAATATACTCAACCTGTCGAATTTCTCTGAACCAAATAAGGTGTGCCGCGAAAAATGCTAATTGATTTTACTTGTATGAAATTTAAAACGTTCTGTACCCAAATACAAAACTTTTAAGATTTAGTAATAAGCCTCTTTATTTGAGTGTGGGTATGGGTGTTACTCTTCTTTTCTTCCACTGACGCATACACCCACACCCCAGGATCTGAGTGTGTCTTGTCGAATGTTGGTGCGGGTGTGAAATGTGAGTAAGAGCGTTTGCTTGCTAGTCACCCACACCCATAGCCTCATTTACTGTGCGTTTTGTAGAAAAGAAGCGATTCATTCATTCTACGCCTGAGGAAAGGAATTCAAATAAGCATAATTTAATGCGAATCGATTGCACAATGATTCATTCAATTCAATTCGACTGATCGATCTTGAAAAAGTCTGAGAGGCACTAGTACCATTCGTCGCACGACAATTCGTTGCGATCAATTCGTCGCAAAACAATTCGTTGCACATGTATTGTAGAGAATACATTGATTGAATTAAGTGATTTAGTTTAGAATGTTATCTAATTAATCGCCTAAACAAAAATTTTTCTTTAGACTCTTAGGAGTCTTTTTCAGAATACAATGGTTCTTCAAAAATAAAATGGAGATATCAATTTAAAGTCTATTTTAAAATTTAATTTAAAAAAATTGAAATTTGATTTTAAATAAAATTCTATGTAGATAAATGAAAAATACAACTCATTTTTTCCAATTGAAATTTAACTTTTTATTTAAAAAACGCTGAAAATTAAAACAAAAATATAAAATTGAAAACAAATCTTACAAATCTAAATTAAAAAAAATAAAGTTTTTTATTTACTGAAAACATGAATTTTAGGGGTCAAACAAACTAGAAAAATAAAAACTGAATTAACCACTAATTCGTCTTAAAAAGATGATTTAAATCTGAATTAATCAATCACGGTTCTTAATTCCGTTTTAATTTTTCTTGTGTGTTTGACCCCTTAATGAAAGAAAAATAAAATTTATTTTTAATTTGTCTACATATAATTTTATTTAAAATCAAACTTTAATTTTTTTAGATTAGATTTCTGAAATTTTTTTCGATTTTATATTTTTGTTTTAATTTTCAGCTTTTTTTTTAAATAAAAAGTTAAATTTCAATTGGAAAACATGAATTTTGTTTAAAATCAAATTTCAATTTTTTTAAATTAAATTTTAAAATAGACTTTAAATTGACATCTCCATTTTATTTTTGAAGAACCATTGTATTCTGAAAAAGACTCCTAAGAGTCTAAAGAAAAATTTTTGTTTAGGCGATTAATTAGATAACATTCTAAACTAAATCACTTAATTCAATCAATGTATTCTCTACAATACATGTGCAACGAATTGTTTTGCGACGAATTGATCGGTCACCTATAAATAAGCCTTACATAAATGTCTTGAAACTTTCATTTGTATTAATACACAAAAGAGAGTTGTAAGTCACAATAACCAGAGTTACCCATTAGGTTACCGAAATGGTAGGGTTCAAGCGACTCGTTCCAACCCTCTGACCCATGGACTGAAAGCAAAATTTAAAATTTCGCTGGAAACCACTCGCAGAGCAATCAGTTGGGTTGAGTTGATTCATGGATTGAAAAAAGTCATTTCCAACATCTTTTATATGAACAACCGGAGCAGCTGAATACAGTTTGTTGAACTCTCAACTAGACACATCATCATCATGACTTTTCGTGGGCGAGCCATTGTTGAGAAATATGAAATCGGACATGGTCGCTATATTCTTCAATATTCATCCGCCAAATCTAAACAAAACTGATTGAAATTCGATGCAAAAACAACTGTGCGTTCTATTTGACACATGGTTTCGAACAGGAATGTAAAGTTATGGACATTTGAATTTCCATGTTTATGAAATATGTAGAAAAATTTATTTATCAAAAAATTCACTGTTCAAAAATTCACTCCATTGATGAAGATACGATCCTGGTTCGAATATTTTAGGTGTGCTCGATGCATGCCAATGAAAAATAAATGCTCCATCGAATACATTTCGTCCTCGACGGCTGATTTCACTTTGTTGTCGTAATGGATCTTTAAAAGCTACTAGAAAGCCACTACTTAGTTTCCATTCTTGTCGACTTGATTGATCCATTTCGTCGACAGCCAACCATATCGGATCGAAAAAAGCACTTGGCAAACGATAAAAATTGGCTGGTAATGAATGTCTTTTTTCTAAACTCGATGGAAAGAATTCGTACGGTGATTTGGTCTGACGAGCACGATTAATAATAATGGAACTGACGTTCGATTTAGCAAAGAGACGAAGAACTCCCGTATTGAAACCGTTTAAAAACGACCAGCGATAGCCAAATTCATATGAAAAAAATGGTTGCAGATCTCGAAGTAACAAAGCATCGGCATCGATGTATATACCGCCGAATTCATGTAAAATAATGAAGCGCAAAACATCGCTGAATAAAGCACGATATGGTATGAACCATCGCCAAGGTAATCCACTCCAATGGGATCCGACCTATACAAAAAGAAACATCTAGTCATGAACAGATCACAGTGATGAAAATCTTACATAGATGTCAATTTCACGTAATTTCTCGGCGACAGACATGGTTGTTCGAAATTCTACATGAGGTGCGTACAACTGATCGTACAATTGCTTGATACGAGAATCCAACGGTGGCCATAACCAAACAATCAGACGAGAACATTGCAAATTTTGTGTGTATAAAAACGAAAGAATATGCACTTGAAGAATCTGATTATTTAAAAAACGAGTTTTGCCCCAAAACGTATGAAATAACACTTTATTGTTTTCTGTACAATAAGTTTCTTTGAATAGTCGTGTTTCATCGGCAGATAGTGGTTGTAAATAATCGGTTTGATTTCGATGGAGATAATATAGACATTGAATTGTTGTCATATTTTCACAAAGATTTTTCAATTTGACAAGATCAACAAATTTTAAAAATTGAAATGCTGATGCATTCTGTACTCGTAGACGAAATTTCATCGATTGAGATGGCTGATCATAAGGCCACATAGAATACGATAATGAAGCTTCATATGTAATGAGAATAAGAAATATAACAATGATGAATATGATCATTCTCACAATACAATACCGATGACACAATGCTCGACAACATCGTTCGATAGCAGAAATTAACCAGTTAAATTTGAATAATCGACTCATCATACAAATTTATTCGATCATCGGTAACGTAGCAAGAAAGATTCAAGATCCGGTAAAACAAACAAAAATAAATGATCATCCGTAATTAAAAATACTTTCATAAAAACTTCTGAAATATCAAACGGACGAGAAGATGTTAGCTATTCTAGGTGACCTTGTTTCAAAGGAATATATGTTTTTTTTGAAAATCGATCGCAACAATGACAAAGTATTCCCCCATGAAATCATACTGTGAACCTATTTGAAAAGCTTGAATTCCACATGAGAAACTACAAAAAAAGCAATATTCTGACTAAAGTCAAAGTTTATGCAAAATGACTCAGCATTCATGATTGAATGTGAAACTTTAAAGTTCAAGAAGAGTTTTGTTTGAATCTAACAAAATGATGAATTTATTTTAATTAGGAACTTACTGGAGGAGTTCTGTTCGCTTGAACAAGACTACTCGATTGCGTTAATCTCGAAAAAAAAACAGAGTTGTGACCAGATTTGAGTTTTTATTTGGTGTTAACTTTCGATATTTAGAACATAAAAAGAATTCAATAGAAGTGAATATAACTTTACAAAATAAAAAACTGCACATGTCTTTTACTTACAGTTAGTTCTTTCATTTTCCAACTGTGATCCCTACAAATTCTTTAAAAAAAACCGTGCCGGAAATAGCTTGTAGTGAAATTATTGAAACTATATAAAACTAACTAGGCGAACATGACTTGGATAAGATTCGGATTTTGAATACATGTTGAATATTTTTTCTCCAAACTATCCTAACCTTAGAAGCCTATTTCAATCTTCTGATGAGATGTTCAAGTGCAGAAAAATAGCGCAGATTTTTTTTTCTTTCTCTATTTAAAAAAAAATAGTGTCGTAAAGGAAGGAAAAAATGAACATGCTGTGAAAGATTCTTCAAAATACCACTCACATGTATACGGTTTTTCTTCTCGATCGAATCAGTTTAGTCACAACAAGACTTGTACAATACATATCTCAGTAGATTGACGTATTAACTTGTGCAAGTGCATGGAAGTTCTATAAAAAAACAATGTGTAACTAACAAAGTCTATGTTAATGTTACGTCAACGATAGATCTGATTAGTTAGTTTTTATACTCAATTTATAATACGATATTAGATAAGATGTGTATGATTGAAATAATTAATGCAGATAATATTCTTATAATGGCATGTTTTTAATTTATCAATGTAGAAAATACGTTTAAAAACAAAGCAAACATTTCATTCTTGCCTATACATCAATCTTTCTTCATGGCAACGGAATATAAAACGGGACGTTAAAGGAAAAAGAAAATGAAAGAAGTTACCATGAACATTGATCTTTTTCTTTTCTTATGTTGCTACAATTTCATGTTCTTCGTCTACATGTGACAGGAGTCGTGTGCTTTTTTTCTGCTCCTTAGCATAATACACATTAGAATGGTATTGACAACCGTAAGAATAAAAAAAATCGAACCACTGAATGTGCAACAAGCTTTTCTTTTCGATTACGATCGGTTGAAAAAAAGTAATGCTTTTCTTTCTTGTTCTGAAGAACAAATGACTCTTGTCTATTTTTACTTTGATTGTGAACAAGAAAATTTGCAGCTGTTTATATGTTCTTTACTGATGACATTAAAAATACTTTTTGAGTAAAAGAAAAACCTATTCTACAATGATGTCAATCGACTACGTCTCGTTGTCCTTCTTTGTAATCGATCAGGCTAATCAAATATGAAGAAAATTGATAACAAAGAAAAAAAAACTCAATTTCAACATTTATGAATCGATTGAATACAAATAAAGATAAATGAAATTTCTTAAAGTAAATTTCTATCCAATATCAACGAATATACGAGATATTCTGGTTATTAAATAATAAAAACTCATGGAACGTAAATTTAATGTATGCCCAAATTTAGTCATGAAGTTGACACTAAAAGTCAGAATTTTTTTTATAAATCGCTAATAGATATAATCATATTCCGAGTCACCAATTAGAACGATATTGGATTAAATCTTTGATGTAGATGATATAGAACTTATCTTAAACCTTTATCTCTCGATGTCCACACCTGTGAACACTGGTAAGTCAATTGTAGAAATTAAGCAACGTGTAGAATTTGAAAATTTCAAAAACAATTTTTATCGTAAAATTCGTGAGCTATCCGTTGCTAAAAAGAATATTTCATTCCATTGCTCCATCTCCGAAATATTGAACTCACAAAGTTGATCATGTTGAGAAAATTGAACTTGTTTTTTTACAACAAAATATTCTTTACCCTACAGGCAACGAAGAATCTTTCGGGTTTGTTATGGGATATTGACTAATCAAAAGGGATACTAGTAAATACGATATGTTTCGAAAGCTTCACTTCAACTTGTTGGTATACAGAAAGTACGACACAAATTGAACCATGTATGCACTATTGGGCTGATAGAACGCAATTCAGAGCCATGTGAATGTGTATTTTGTAGACCTTGTCACATGAGAAGTTGTAATAAATTTTATCATTCATCGAATGTCTTCAGGAGTTATATTATAATTCAAAGAAAGACAGATGTTTATTTTAATACATTTCTGAAAACTATTTGTCTTCTTTTGAAATAGGTTTTCTATCTTTAGTTCATCCCTTTCAATATTATTTAGTTATAATGCAATATCTACTGGTTTTGCATAATGAATCCTATTGTGAAACCGAAAACTATCAGTGCTTGTCAAGTAGCATTAGCCCCTCTTCTCCACTCTACGATTACCAGAGTAATAAAGCTACCTTAGACAAGAAGCAGAGCACTCACTGAATTTTCCTATGCTATCGGCATATTACAGAAGCAAAGACTTCATTTGCATGGTTATTTTATCACTGACTCTTCTAGAAGAGCTGTGGAGGGGAAACGGTTAATAATGGCTATACTGTAGTCTTACTATAGACATGTTTCTCAAATGTTTTATTATTCTTGGGATCATATAAAAATAGGGTGTGGCTGTGAGTGTGAATATAAATTACAGGAACACTTAAAACCACGCCCTAAGCTCACACCGACACATACCCCTATTCTATGCTGATTGATAATAATCAAAAGTATACCGCAGTCTCTCTATGTCATAGAGAAAACTGTATCTCGATATCTTTTTCCATTCGCGAGTTATTCAAGAATCAAGAAACTCGAGAATGCTGTACTTTATAAAGTACGATGGACCTGAAATATACTGAATTAAAAACAACTAGACAGTGGTGAATATATATTTTATGATAAAACAAGAGGTGCTGCTGCTGCTAGCCGGTGAGCAGATATTTTATTTTGTTTTTATTTAATTACGCTAAAATAAAAAACAGTAAATGAATCTTGTGAATTGTGAAAATGAGTACGGGTAGTATATGCATAAGATATAAGTAGAAAAATATGGGTTAGGGTACAGAAAGTTGTACTTGTGTAGTACCCTATTATTGTCCTCATGAAGAAGAAGTTTTGTTAAATTATGATTAGAGTTGTCCTTTGTAATTCACTTAAGATGATCTGTCTCCATGTTTCGATCGAATTCTGCTTTCCAAATTTCATTTATCTTCTCATATGATTCTGTAATTTGATCTTCTGTTTTAGTCGATGACCAGGGAATATGATCCATGACAAACCAAATAAGACGATTACAATCGTCTGCATATTTCAATGGTTCTTGCATATGAGAATGCCATACAATGTCGATCTGTAAAATGAAAATCAATTAAAACTAGTCTTTTCAATGAGATTTGTATTCGTACTGCATATGTCGGATGTATAAAGTCGTATCCATTCATTGTTGAATATTTGGCTGTCATGTATAAAAACCGTTCGTAAAATTTTCTCAGTCGTTTCATTGTCGAGCGAAGAGCGATTTGCTGTGCTTGAGAATCATATGTCATAATTTTCAAACCTACTCTGTACACATCAGTGCGGTACAATTCAAACCAATAGCTATCGAGAATAATATCTGCTTCAACGAATGAAAATGGATTTTCGTAGTTGTTCGGTAGTTCAGGTGCAAATCTGAACGATGTATCATCCCAATAGGAATATGCCGGAATAGAGCACTCAACATAATTTAATAATGAATGTCGATATGTCGACCAAGTTTTGTTTTTCTCTTCGGTCACTAGTAAAGGACAATATTGTTCTCCGAAACGTTCTTCATACAATCGACAGGTATTGGCAAAAGTTTGTTCTTTGAGGCTTTCTGCGATATTATCTATTAACAAGGAATGATCGATGACATGACGAAATAATCGAAGACAATCACCCCGATACATTTCAGGACGTAACAAATGAGTGTGCCAGACGATTTCGATGTCCAATGTTGGAACAAGACGTTCGTTGGGATATGAAGCTTTCAGTTGCATGAATCGATAGTACCTCATAATCATTTGTTTGATAATGGTTGGTCGCGACCAATTAGTTACGAATCCAGACATCTTTTCCAATAACGCAATCAAGGCGATAACTGCTCTATCGATATCCACAGATAATTCAATGGTCCTATCGATTTAGAAACAAAGGACTGGTGTTACATATGAAAAAGAGAAATTTGAACTTACATATCTAATGACGAATTAGGATGTTCAACAAAGCCAGGAGCGGACAAGACGTGGACTTTGTCCTTTGCTCGAATGAAATATTCAGATGAACAATGACATGTATCAAGTAGGCAAGAAATATGTTGCCTTGTTTTTCTGTATCTTTCATTCATTTTTTTCAATTCTCGACTGCGCAAATATTTCCCATAGATCCAGTTCATGTAGATTTGTTTGAAAGATTTCGACTGTATTTCGTCAAATGCTACAGCTAAACGCATTTTGAGAAGCAAAAGCAAAATAGTCT